ATTACTATCATATGAATATTATAGGTAAATTCAATAAAGCGAACAACTGTGACCGTAAACAATACAAAAAAAATTCAAATTTACATAACGAAACGCTTAAAATGAAGAATATTATAAATGTGAATAATGTTTATAAGAGTAAAAATAACGATTCTGAGGATGAAATAATAAAATGTGAATCACAATAACATTTCCAAAAACCATAAAACACATTCAGCATTGATTGGGGATCTATACATATTCTAATTCCCCGTTTGCTGTAACCCTCATACGCAATACACCGGAATATTATATGACATTCTCAATAAAGTGTTTGATAAAATTCAGACAAACAATTCTCTATACCTGTCAACAGATAACACAATAAATGAATTGGTCACAAGAATGCATAATAGATGCTTTGAAGTGGCAAATATTCGAAAGGGGATATTCTTCAAAATACAAAACTATATTACATAGTACAAATTGGCACTAAATATTGGTTTATCAAAGATTTTTACAGGCGACGCATCATATTGTGCACATTTCTTGAATGACACGAAAAATTAAACACATTTTCAAAATAATATTTAACAAGATAACACACGAGAAACTCNCAGTTTGCTTCAAACAGTCTGGTTCAACTTCTTTCAAACGATACTTCTTTCTATTCCAAATGATTCTTTGTTCCTCACTCTTCATAAACCCGACCCTTTGAATAATTTCTAAGCCACAGACGATATTCTAAGAGCACAACTAAAACTTCTGAAGCAAAATCAGTCCAACACAATAACTTTCACATTATCATCTCTAATGTCAAATGATTTATATCGACTTCATCCAGACAAGGAGATTATTTTCAGAATCAGCGAAATTTCAGCATGAATATCGCACGCAGGAAGCTTTGAGTTAGCTTCGACGTATAAGTGAAAAGAAAATATTTGAGTGATAACATGAAATGTGACAAATAATTTAAACACACAAGATAATTACGATCAGAATGAGGAATGGATCGACCCGGTACATTACGACGAGGGCTTATTATAAATTCATTGATGAAAGATTACAAATTGATAATAATATAAATAAATACTGATTAACACTTAGTATTTGGGAAACCTTTTTTTGAACAATTCGTTTCTAAGACGTTTGTTTTCAGCTGTCAATTGAATGACATGCGAATGTTCTTCCTTGAGTTTCCCCTCGAGTGTTTCAATTCGTTTGTCTTTGTTCTTCAGTGAATTGTTCATATTCGCAACTTCTTGTTGCAGTTCTTTTATTTGGTTGTCCTTCATCATCTGTTGCTTTCGTGCCTTCTCACGCGACTTACGTACTGCGTCGTTATTCTTCTCACGTTTCAAACGATATAACGCACTCTTCTTCTCCGACTAAAACATAACTTCAGTGAACGTTGAGAATTAATTGAAACTAGTTTTGTAAGTATTTACAAATATATGTACGAATCACGCGCGATGCACATTTATTCACAATGACAACCACTCATATAAAAGGATATTGAAAAGTAAGAAAATTAGTGAAAGTAGACAAACCTCAGGTTTCAACGAATATTTTCTAGGTTTGATAGTGGGTGTGAATTGTAATTCGACTTGTTGTTTGGGAGTGCGAATTAATCTGGATGTGGAAGGTCGTGGTTGAGATGGTGTTGACTGTGTGCCGATATCACATTTGTTTGAGCATGACGATGACGAAGATATCGTTGTTGTGGTTTCATTGCTGATATCATTCGAACACTCCTTCTTACTCATTTTCTCATTATCCTCCCATGGTATTTCTGATTTCAAACCGATGTTACGTCCTGACACCTGCACATCACTTGTAATATCATATGCAGTCGACTGTGATGACGGCAGCCCCACCAATTTATCCTCATTGAACATATCCGATTCTCTCAAATCTGAAAACCACAACTTATTTTACTGATTTCCGTTCGTATCTATAGAACGCAAGTGAGCAGTAATCAACTAATTCAGCAGACAGTTCACTGAATTGCCGACGATCGATTAAATTAAAGTTGTTTGGTGAAACAAAATTTGATTCTTACTGAGATAAAACTGCTCCTAATATCAGTGAAATACAGAATAAACAGCGATCACGATTTTCAATACGTTTTTCTGTTGAACCTATATAAATTCGCATATCTTTTGCTCCCAAGCACCTAACTGAATGAAAAGAAACAGATGAAAAAGATGAAAACATATTTCATTTAACGAAGAATTACAAACCCAAATCAGTGTAATGCGCATTGGAGAACGGCCCTTGATAAATGATATCATTCTCGATGAGTTTTTGCTTTTCAAGAAATTCTTCACCCAAATCGTTTGCATCAACATCTTGAAGATCTTTTAGGTACGGTGTTAAATCCATACTCTCATCCATAAAATCGATTCCATCCTTTGCTTGAAGTTCTTGACAAAGCATTAATGAATCCTGAAAATTTTTGCGTTATCCCGGTTTTCATCATAGAAATTTGCAATGCATAAATAAAATTATGTCGAAGATATAACAAAAATACGCACGCAACCTAAAAACGGAATGCAACACCGGACCATTCCAGATGTAAAAAAATGAAAAAGACCGATGATGATATTTAAGAATTTCCGTTGCGAAAGCATATCAAAACTTAGAATTCATTAATGGCTGTGAATGGATAATCTGGGATAAGAACAAAACTAACTTGACGATCAACTGATGCGTATTGATCGGGACGGTGGATCTGTCTTTTCGTTGGATGACTGCTATTTGCAGCAGCATCCGGCGACTGTGGGTAACATCCCGTTGAAAAGACATTCATTTCGTCGATCGTTTGATTAGACTGGATTGCACTGTCACGAATAAACGGATTGTTTGTCGAATGCAGTTGCATGTAGCAATTATCAATCTAAAATGCGTATTCTCAGTGGAGTCACGAAATTGTTGACCACTTGAAAGAATGCAACAATCGGTTCATCGGTAGTAATTTCAACGTAACAACACAAACGCGATAAACAGATGAATATATTAATATCTGATCAGATCACCCAATAAAATAGGCGCATAACTGATATGCATTTGCTAATGGACTACGTGACAATTTTTCTATCAGTGGGATCTGCTGCAATCAACATGAAAATTTCTTTCATTTCGTTGTTGAAAATTTACAAAACGCCACCAACAATGTTCGACATTCAGGTGACATTAACTAAAACACTACTGTTATCGTTTCATTCAATCTTCTCGTCTACGATCTTGATCCAAACCTCTCTTATAAGCTGTAAAGGCACACATCCATATCAATAATTAAAAAAAAACAACGAATGAATCCGTCTTCATTTCATGACCGCAGCACAAACATGAACGAATAAAATAGTACCGCTGA